AGTTTATGCTTATTATAACTGTACAACTGGGCTTCATAGCTACTAGTTTTGTTGTAAAAATTGTATAGATAATCAAAGATGCTCTTTCAAAGTGCTTATAAATATTAGAGAATCATAGAATCATTTATTTTATAAATGACCTTTAAGTTCTCCAATAAACCATGTCTCTAAGTGCTACAGCTATACATCTTTTAAATACCTCTAGGGGTGGCGACTCTACTTCCCTAGGCAGCCTCTTTCAACAATGTTTCAGTGAAAAATTGTTCCCTAATATCCAATCTAGCCTTCCCCTGACACAACTTGAGGCCATTTCCTCTTCTTCTGTCACTTGTATTTGGGAGAAGAGGTCGACCCCCACCTTGCTACACCTGTCCCTAGGGAGTGATAAGGTCCTTCCTGAGCCTGCTTTTCTCCAGGCTGAACAGCCCCAGCCCCCTTGTGCTCCCTCCAGAGCCTTCCCCAGCTGTTCCCTTCTGTTTTATCTCGGCCCCTGGCTGTCCTGCAGTGTGGGGCCCAGAGCTGGGCACAGCGCTCGAGGGGTGTCCTCACCAGGGCTGAGTACACAGGGATGGTCCCTTCCCTGGTCCTGCTGGACACACTGCTCCTGTTATAAGGCTGGAAGCTGTTGGTCTCCTTGGCCACTTCGGCACGTGCTAGCTCACAGTGAGCTGGCTGCTGATCAGCAGCTTTAGATTCTTTTCCCAACACCTTTAGAGCTGCTCTTCTCCAAGCCTGTAGCACTGCGTGGCATTGTTGTGACCCAAGTGCAGGACAAGGCATTTGGCCTTGTTGAAACTTGTACAATTGGCCTCAGCCCATGGATCCAGCCTGTTCAGATCCCTCTGCAGAGCCTTCCTACCCTCCAGCAGGCCAACATTCCCACTCAGCTTGGTGTCATCTGTGAGCTTACTGCGGTCTCACTCAATTCCCTTGACCAGATCATAGATCAAGATATTGGCTGCACTCCTTGGGCTCAGCCATCCCGCCTTTTACCCAGCAGTTCCAAGCTATGAGCAGCCAGTTTCTCCAGTAGAATGATGTGGGAATTGGTGTAAAAAGCTTGACTAAAGTCTGGATAGCCTTCACAGCCTTTTCCTCATCCACCAAGCAAGTCACCTTGTCATAGAAGGAGATCAGATTGGTCAAGCTGCACTGCCTTTTATAAACACAAACAGGCTTGACCTGATCCTGTGGTGTCCTAATGTGCTCTGTGCTGGCTCAAGATGTGCTCCATGACCTTGCCCAGCACCAAGGTCAGGCTGACAGGCTTGTAGTTCATGAATCCTCTTCCTGATCCTTCTTGTAGATGAGTGTCATATTTCTCAATTTCCTGTGAGGTAGAACCTCTCCAGTTAACCAAGTCTGCTGATAAATGATGGAAAGTAGCTTGGTCAGCACTTCTGCTGCCCCCCTCGGTTTCTTTGGGTGGATTCCATGCAGCCCTTTGGATTTGTTCTAAATGGTGTAGTATTTTACAGTATTTTACTGACCATTTCCCCTTGGATTGTGAGGGCTTCATTCTGTTCCCCATCTGTCTTCCAGCTGAGGGCACTGGGTACCCAGAGAACAGCTGCTCTTACTACTAAAGACCGCAAAGCAAAGCAGGTATTAAGTACCCCAGGCTTCTCCTCGTTCTTTACATTATGTTTCCCCCACATCCAATAAAAATGGAGATTCTACTTCTGTTGCTAATGCATTTCTATAAGTGTTTTTTTTTTTAATTTTCTTTTATGCCAGTAACCAGATTTAGTTCTAGTTGGGCTTTGACCCTTCTAGTTTTCTCCCTGCATAACCTCACAACATCCTTGAAGCCCTCTTGAGTTGCCTGGCCCTTCTTCCAAAGATGATGCACTTTTATTCCTGAATTCCAGCCAAAGTTCTCTATTCAGCCAGGCTGATGGTCTTCCCTGCTCATCTTTTGACACATAGGGATGGCCTGCTACAGTGCATTTAAAATTTCCATCTTGAATCATGTCCAGCCTTCCTGGACTCCTTTGCCCTTCAGGACTGCATCCCAAGGGTCTTTCTCAACCAGCCTCATAAACAGGCCAAAGCCTGCCCTCTGGGAGTCCTGCTGGCCCCCCTCATTATTTCTCCAAAAATCAAAATCTGTTGTTTTATGATTGCTGTGCCCAAGACAACCTCCTATTGTCACATCAGCCACCAGTCCTTCTCTGTTCAGAAAAACAGCTCTGGTGGGGTTCCTTCCCTAGCTGGCTGATTTACCAGATGTGCATGCCAGTTGTTGGAGTATTGATCCTGCCACTTTTTTTAGGGAGAGGTGCCCATTGCATTTACAGTTCCATCGTTACTGTAAATTTTATCTAGTTATATGAAATCTTTCCTCTCATTGCCAGTATGCTATTTCATTGATTTTCTCATGGTTTCTTCTGTCTTTTTGCGATATAAGTGTATGAAACCATTCATGGAAAGGGAGTAAAAACAATTCTAATAGTCTGTTGTCTTTTTCAGAAGTGAAACCTTTGCTGCTCCAATGGGATGAAATCCCATAGGATATGCCATATGATTTTAATATAAACCAGGGAGTTTTATTAGTATTATTGCTGGTCCTGGAGACCCTTGTGCACTCCTAAGAAGTACTTACAGCACTTCTGGTGTTGGGAAACTCGATGTAAAGACAAGTTTCAAATTGGCTTCTTTCTGCAGAATTGTGCAATGATAAACATTAGTGGCCCTGTTTTTCTTACAGCTCAGATGTCAGCTACTGGTGAGAAGAAAAATAAGAAATCCAAACTGAAAGTTTAATTTAGAATGTTTAAAATATTTTATAATCCATCTGTGAAAAACTTGATAATTTCTTCAGTGTCATGCCCTTCTGAAAAATCATCATTTGAAATAAAAAAGAAGGATGCTGTGTTTGTCTTTGAAATGGACAACTTAAATATTGAAAGAGAGGGATTCTCTCTGAAATAAAGGAAGTTTAAAGGATATGACTAGGAGAAACAGTGGTTTTGGTATTAGGTGAACCGAAGTCACAAATCAGAATTGTCATCCATTGGGCTAAGTGTTTTGCCAAAAAAAGAGATTTATTTTGCATTAGATAATTTGTCAGATCTTGTAGGTTTTTGTAAAGGACAGTGACACAAAAGTAGAGCTGTTAGCTGCAACCTTAGCTGACCTTTACTAAAAATTGCTCTCTATCCTGGTTATAAGCCTCTGCAGTCCATTAGCTTCGGTGAATTTCTCCAGGTTTTGCAGGGACATAACTCGGAGTTAAGGGCTGGTGCAGGGTTGTTGGTTCTGTTCCTCTCTATTTCCTGTTGATAGGGTGCACTGTGACTCAGTGTGTGGCCTACCTTATTTTGACAAAATCCTTTGTTCTCATTAGTGCCTTACAGAAAATTATCCAGTTGGGTTCTCAAATTACATCCAGTATTTTTGTAGCTAAAACTGTGTTTGTAAATATGGGGTATTGTCTGCTCTCCTGTATGTTAACATATGGCTTCTCTTCCCTTCTGCCTGCTCTTGTAAATCAATTTTATTTTAACTATTACAGAAGTGTCTCATAACTTCAATGTCTTTCAAATAGCCTTCGAAAAACAGTTTTAATACACTTTCCTATAGCACTGAAGCTTCTTAAAATATGAAGCTATTGTACATCAAGGAGAATTTTGCTGTATACATTCATGCATATAGAGACAGTAGAGAGCATGCTGTAATTAACTTGTTTGACCTGAAATGTATACAAGGAATGGAAAATCTGGCTGCATGTGTAATGACCTGGTAGTCCAGGTAATTTCCTTTATGCCTTAAGTTAGGTACCTGACATTCATAACGCATAGAATCTTGCTTGTTGAGCAGTCTAGCATTATACTTGCAGAAATACTGCTATACTAACTGGTATTATATTCATGTTCAGTGATTTATTTGATCTAGAAAGCCAACAAATTTCTGCTTTTCTAAAAGGAGTTTTCTAGGGCTCCAAATGTTCAAATGATCTACGTTCTAGTTTCCCTCTATTACACTTGTGATGAACACAGGATCATTTGCAATATATGTGTGTATATATATGTATATATGGTGGGACATTATGTATATATAGTATATACATCAACATATATTGGGACATGATTTTCACTTTGGTCTATGACTACAACATTGGACTGTGGCTTCAACAACCTGTTTTAGAAACCTTACAAATAAATCACTGATGATACTTATGGAAGTTACCACCTTCCTTAGATAAAAGTATATTTATAAAGTACCAGTTTGTATAGAGCAAGCTTTGGATCTGTCCCACTGTTAAACAGAGCATAAAATAAGAAGCTGAAATTTGCAATGGCTGCCTGAGACACACAAGGGTATTTTAATTAACCTGCATGCAGAAATTAACCCTTAGAGTACTGCTTCAAATTCTTCAATTTATTTTGTTATTTAATTTTACCAGTGGGCTATGCTGCTTTTCTACTCAGTTCATAGTACTGTACATAAAGTACATTAAATGGCCATACAAAAAAAAAAAAAGAAGTGAGAAAAAGAAAAAAAATCCAATCAACTTTTTATAAACAAGGGATTCTACAAGACTAAGTACTCCAGGTTGCTAATGGGTAATGTATTCCTAAGCAACTATTTTTTAAAAAGGTTTTATGAATTAAAAGCATGTAATGTTTCACTGTACCTGTGTACTTGTTAGGTTTCTTCCTAAAGTATCATAGGTGTGTTCTTTAGAAAGAAGTCAGTTCTTTAAGGGTTAATGTGGGGTTAAGCAATCCTGAGGTATTCTCCTGCTTGTCCTCTCCTAAAGGTATCTGCATGTTAATTCTCAAATATTACCTGAATAGGTGAATATGAATACTGTATGAATGACTAACTGAATGAACGAAATAGTTCCTTTGAAATGCTTGCTTGTATCCAGTAAACGACTGGAAAACAGAAACCTGATTTCTGGATCAAGGTCTTTAATGAAATGCAAACAATTCTCAGCAGAGTAGAAGCTCACATACTGACAGTTTATTCTGATTTCTTTGTCTTTCAAATAGCCCAATAGAATCCTGCCAGAATTTCTACAAAGATTTCACATTACAGATCGACATGGCTTTCAATGTGTTCTTCCTACTCTACTTCGGCTTGCGTGTAAGTAGCGTCTCTCTGGTGGCAGGAGGCAGGGAGGGAAGGCAGCTGCTGTATATGGAGATTGAAATAGAGATTGTATTTTCTTTGAAAGAAAGACACTATCTTCTTTAATGCAAAGAATATGACCATGGTTTTGAAATGTGTAAGTCAAAGTTTTAAGACTTAGATAGATCTGCTCCGTTAAATACCTTCATAATACACTCGTTTTTTCACTTTATTTGTATTTTTCCATTTAATGTTTATATAAAGCAAATGTTTCAATTATTTTTTAATTATGAATCAAATGCAAGTGGCAGTTTCACCTTATTTAAGCACGTAGGCAAGTTCTAACTATGATGCCCAATCTAAGCTTGCCAGTTTCCCAGGGCTAATTTTGTATTCAGGAGAGAGAGAGACCACGTGGTTTCATTCAAAAGCCTGAAGTGCTGCTGCAGTCCTGAACTATGCCTTGTAGGAGTCACCCTCCTGATCTCCTCTGGACTTGTAATGATGGGACTCTAAACAGCTCTGTATTGAGAAATTTGTGAGCACCAAATGTATGATAAGACTGCCACCAGCATATTTGGTGTGCTGGAACAAAATTGATGTGCTTCCAAATACTTAATAATTGCCTACACTTTTCCAATATTACTGATACATTGTCAACAAATGTGGAAAAAGTATTTTTAGCATAGATACTACAACTGATAACATAGATGATCTATCTCTCTAGTTAGGCCTTTCATTTTAATCTCAGTGTTATTATCAAGAAATTTGCAATACAGACTTCTTTCCATGTTTTGTCTAGACTGACCTAAAACATCAGTTACTACACTAACTTTTGGGTTTAATATTTTAGAACAGATACCTGAAATCAGCATGATAATAATCTGATTCTTTCATCTCTTCCCCTCTTTTTTTTTTTTCTTTCCAGTTTATAGCAGCCAATGACAAGCTATGGTTTTGGCTAGAAGTTAACTCAGTGGTAGACTTCTTCACGGTCCCTCCAGTGTTTGTGTCAGTATATTTAAACAGAAGTTGGCTTGGTAAGTAAAATAGTTTAACCTTTAAAATGCTTGTTATAAAATTACTTTAAGTTTGCACATTTGGGTGGAGAATCTGTTGATCTTATGTCATTGTGTAAATAGAATAATGTTTCCAAAGTAGTTTTCAAAGTGAATTTGAAGCAGAAAGGTGAATTTTGTCAGAAAAAGCACTTACTATATTTGTTTTGTTTTCAACTGTTTACTAATCTCCTACTCTAAGTGGTGGAGAACTCCATTTTGGAAGTACTGTGGAACAGTAGCCTGCCTTTATCAAACCATGAATTTGATTTGTCTCAGCTCACAACCTGAACAGGTGATCTAGATCATTCATTCACTGAACTGGATTGCCATGGATCATTGTCAACAATGAAATCAATATATTCTCATTGCATTTTTTAAGCCAGTGTGGCTAAATTTTGAATCCACCGAAGTGACTGATTTGGGAGATACATTTAGACACTTAATATTTTTACTGGACTGCTAGGAATGCATTAGAAAAGGTGTGCCACATGTAAAAGGGAATGCAAAATGAAATAGAGAGGACACTCAATTAAAAACATCCATAATGTGCCAAATCGAGTTTCCTGTACAAGTGTTTTAGGCATTTTCATTAGTCAAATGTCGTGATTTTTTTTATTCAGAGAAAACATCCTAAAAAATGGCATGTCTTTAGACAACTTATGAAACCTCACAGTTTGGCAATTCATGCCTCTGGAAATACAGGCACTCATTGTCCCTGAAAACTGAAGAAATTCTTATCTTAAATGTTTCATATGGAAAATAAAATAAACCAGAGGGCCTTTAATAGTCTTTTAACATTTTCATCTTAATATAGAAGTGCAAAGATACAAAAATTATTGATGAATTTTTTTTTATGGAAAGAGATCAGGTAATTTATAACCACAGTAAAGGTCATATCAGTGGTTATTAGTATGCCAGGGAAGAAAGCAGTAAAACAGCCAGAAAAGATCACTACACATCCTCATATGATTACTCTCTTTATCACATATCACCTCTGTCACATATAGAAAACTAAGTAAGGCTTTTTGAAAGAGAAAATGTCATACAGTTCCACATTATGTTAGGAAATAAAATTTAAAAAGAAGGTATGTAATTAAAAAACATGCTTATCCTTGTAAGAAAATTGCCGATTTCAGTAGCTATAACTTTATCTCAGATTTCTTGCATTATGTGAATTAGAGGGATGGATTTTCACTCCTGTATGGGAAGTATCAGAGTTTCCCAAAAACTTTGAGGTTGAAGTCCTTGGAGATTAAGTCTATCTGAGAGAATAAATAGAATCACAGAATCTATTGAAAAGGAATATGAAATGAGAAAGTAGCAAGACCACAAACTCTGGGAAATGAGGCAGAGATAATTATTTGGAATGAATACCCTTCATGAAAGTGACTGCGTAATTGACTGACTCATGGTGACACAGCAATCCAGCTAACAGTACTGACAGGAATAATGAGAGCGTTTGCACATTTAGCAGTTTCTGCTGCATGGATTTCATAAGTTTTATGTCAGTTTTCAGGAAGAGTTGAGCACTCATAGGGTTGAAAGAATTTCCATATCTCTTAATTACATCAACATCACTTTATCTTGATTTCTTGTTTATAGCCTCACTTTGCCTGTTTCTTTGTGGAATCCCCCTGAGACATTTATCACCTGCTGAGGCAAAAAACTGATGTGTTTTTTAGTGTAGTCATCTTAGGAATAACATATTTACAATGTTTTAGCTTTGCACCTGCTTCCAGAGGGGTTTTCATTTTAGATAAATCATCCTTAGTGAAATCATTCACTAATTCAAAAATGTGAATGGTTTGGATTCCTAACATAACTTTAATTCAGACCAGAAAGTTATTTTGAGAAACTGTGATGAAAGAATTTTTAAGTGAATATATCAAAGCGTATTAATGGAGCCTGTATATTCCTTTTTACACCTTTGGAAGGGATGGCCAAATTTGCTGCCTGTAGAGCTCAAATCATACGTGTAGGTAATACCCTGGTAAGACTGAGAGTGTGAGTAGAGGGGAAGGGAGTGTCTTTAGACCATATTATTTAGTTTCAGGTTAGATGGCTACTTTGCCTTTTTCTTTTATATAAGCATTGTAATTGAGAGAGATATCCTTCTGCTGAGGGGGATTCAGAACAAATAAGTTGTGGGTTTTGCACAAGTTGTCCCCATGTGTCTGTAGGATTAGCAGGGAGGTTTGCCTTTTAGTGAGGCAAAAATCATTCAACATTGGCACATTTTAAGAATTTCTTAATGATTTAGCAGGTTTTCTTTGTGTGCTTTAGATTTCAGGATCATTAGGAGCCAAAATAAAATGCACCATCTGGAATGTATTGTGCATCAGGGTCTTTCCAGTTTATTTCATTATTGATTCATGTCAGTCAGCTGTAATGACTTCATTGAAGTACTTGGCAGAATCCAAGTTCCCAAGTGGCTCTGAATGCCCAATTCTACAAGAGCTGTCCTGGTTTAGCTAACTGACTGGCATCACTATGGACCCACAGTTTGAGCAGTGTTTTAAACAAACCAAACTATCCTAAATAAATAATAAGCTTTGCCTTTGGAGCAGTAAGTGCTTATAGAAGGATGTGAAGCATGGCAGAGGACATGCTCTGGATATATCATCTGATCATGTAGAGAAGTGGAAGGCCAGTGGATTTTTTCTGTTCTTACGCTGGCTCAGAAATGCCATCATTCAACTATTGTGCAGCTCTTAGTATGTGAAGCCTTCTCCTTTCCCTGATACTCTTTTGTATTCAGCTGTTCTTTACATATATTTTTGCATCTTGAAATGCTGTATATGAATTAAATTTTCAATCAGTATTCATAGAGGATGTTTCAAATCTAGTCTTCTACCTAGGTTCCAGTTTGCAGACAACATTTGGTATTGAAAGAAAGATCAGATTATACTTTTTGAAAAGTTTTCTAGGAATATCAGTATGATCAATGTCTAAAGTAAAGATGAAGGCAAAACAGCACTTCAAACCTGCAAAATACCAGATTTTTAGATTTGGTAAAGCCTTCAGAAAGGGTTTCTGTGGTATCATTTTTGCATGCAGAGGACAGCATAAGAAAAGGAAGCACGTGAAAAGAGTGCATTTGGCATATGAAAAGATCTACATATTATTGACAAATTTGAGGAAATAGAGATAGGAAAGAAATTTTTAATGAATCTGTATAGTTTAGTGATGTATAGTGCTTTATCATGCTGTATAATAATTTCTTATGTTCTGACTTGAAAACTGTACAGATATGAACATCAGTGTGTTTTTGGATGCTCATTTTCATCTAGATCCCATGACATTTTTCCAACACTGTTTTGCAAACAGTAACATTTGTGTAGACACTTGCTCATGAGCTACAGCTGTGCTTTATCAAATCATATGTATTGCTTGCACAACTCTATACAAGAAACTTTCTGATAATGGTAGGACATTTCTCCAGGTGCAGGATTCTACAGAGTGGAGAGACTCTTCCCAAGGGAAAAATGAGTTACAGGTGACTTTGGCAGTGAATTTTAACCAAATTATTTCTGTGCATTGCTGAGTTTGTGTATTTTGTTTATAGTCCAAGTGAAGGTAGGCTAATAGGGTTGTTTGACAAAGATAATTTACAATGGGAGAAATAATGGCATGGTAAATTTTGTTGTTTGGTTTGTTGTTTTTTTAACCACAAAGTTGTCATAATTTGAGAGTCCTAGCTAAGTTTCGGATTCAGAACTTTTTTCCTTTGGATAGGTTGCAGTCTGAAAAATTGGAGAGTCCTACAACAAGTTAATGTCTTCCAGTTTTATTTAGCAAAGACTCAATAACACTTTACACACTTAAAACCCTTATTCTATCTTCTGTGATAGCAAAGCCAATTCAAATATCTGAAATGCCTTTAATCATGTACTTGTATGCTTATGAAAAAAGAAATATTGATTTTATGATCTGACTGTATTGAACTAAATTGCCTTGACAGGATTGTATTGTTAGAGGGGAATTTAACATAAGAAATATGATATTGGCTTCACATTTTCAAGAATATGTGAATGAGGAACAATCCGCCTTAGATTGTGATATTAATACAACATAATATATGAATTTGATAGTGTCTTATTATTGAATCACAGAAATTAAAGACAAAAAAGGTATTTCAAACAATCTCACTTCCTTTTTCTGACCGTATGTTTCATCTGTTCTACTGTACAGAAAATCAAGTGATAGAAACTGTTTGATTCCTATAAATTTTTTTATCAGGAAGATTTTTTGTTTGTCCTTATTTCCTCACATGCTTTTTAGTCTAAGTTGCTGTTGAGGCTGTACATTTTTTTCATTTCATTTTACATTTGAGATGTATAGTGGGATAAAGAAGAGAGACAACAGATGCAAATATAGACACATGGAAAGCATAGAGAACAAATCTCTTCAGGTGGTGATTAGTGCAGTTTGGGAAGGAGATAATTTTTTCCAGTGTTTGCTCAAATTCTGTCCAGGTCCTGTTCGAGACATGTCAATTCATTTTGGATGAGACTTGTGGTTTCAGTATCAGTGCCTGGTCAGAGAAGAGTATTTCCAACAACTCTGGTGGAAATTCAGGTTTCTTGTTGAATCAGAGAATGAAATTGGTTTAGAGATAAATTTGGAGAAAAATTGGATGTGTCTTATTAAGGTAGTTAAGGTGATGGTGTGAAGCATTCTGCCCATCCAGCAAGCGTTCCTCAAGATGAAGCTTTAGTTAAAAATCTGTAGATGAAAACATTTGTTTTAATATCCTGTAGACTTTCTTGCCATAACCTCTACAGAACAGCTCATCCTGAAAGCATATTTGAATCTGTAGAATACTTGATTCCTTTTAGAAAACAGTTTAATGGAATTTAGTTATGCCGACACAAAGAAGCCTTCTGATAACTTGGTTATAGGGATACCACTTTGACTTTGCATTAATTTACTGGATTTTGGTGCATCTACAGGTCGCAAAGCCCCCTTGCTCAGCACCT